ACGACTCGAAACATGTTTCTTATAGGTTTTCGACAATGCTCTTTCCAGTGGCATCGTTTTTAAATATTGAGAAAGTTTTCTGAAGGGTTTTCGAAAGATCGGATCTCTGGAAAACTCCTTAGAAAACCTTTTCAAAACCCAACTCTCATGCCATTAGAAAGAGGATCATGAAAAACCTATAAAAAAATGGTTCATGAAATTTTAGTTCACTCATAAGGCTAAAGTCCGCCTGTCTGGCAAAAAACGCCCACTGTGGTGGATGACAAAAAAAGAATGAATATTTGATTGATATTAAGAACTTAAAATTTAACGCGGTTTTAATTTCTTTCTCAATCAGCCTGGGTATGTTCCTAGTTAGGCACAATTTCGTTCTGAGCAGGACACGGCACGCGTTCTGTGTCACGCTTAGGACGAAATTATGCCTAACTAGGTTCTCTTCAAAGACTTTCATGGAACTTGACAAGAAAGGAAAGAGAAAATAGTTTTCTTCCATTTGGGTCTCTTCCATATTTCAAGAATAAACTTTGTCATGAAATAAAGAAATTTGCAAACAAAACTGATAAACGAAAGGAAAATAAGATATTTTCAGTGCCATTCGCTCGTTAACTTGTATTTAAAAATTCTGAAGAGAGCTGGTATTCCAAGAACAAAAATAACGATTGTATGTTCTTTTGTATTGACAAGATGTTTGATTAGACATAATGTCGAGTTTTTTCTCAGAAGAATGATTCATTAGTCATATCTTCTGGGGAGAAAGCGAAGACAAATTAATCTTCTGCGTAAAAGGCACATGCAGTAAATAAAATCTCATGCGCTTTGAAAAAAGTATTCTGACCTACTCTTCTCTCTGATGTTAACTAAAGAGATAATAAACAAATTTTATTGCTTTAATAATTGTTCTGAATCAATCGAGAAAATTACCTTGTTGGATGCAATGTATCATTCATTTCTTCTGTAGCATCATACGTCATCGTTGACACACTTTCCGATAACCTGAACATAAAAATAACAATTAATAATTTATAATGTTCAAGTAACACGTACTTACATTAGTTAGTTTCATAGGACCTTTAGTTAACCGCTGAGCCGTCACGTTTTAATCCTCGGAGTGTTGTATTTTAGGCTCATTTCCTTGTCCGATTGTTTGTAGCATACTTCTCTTATAGAAATTTGACTTTTCTACGGATGGACTTCGATCACCAGTGACCGTTATATCGCGATAAATATACGGAAGGATGATTTTGTACGGCTTGGAATTTTAACAAAAAAAGAAGATGAACGAATAAATTCATTAGATTGACTTTAGTTACCTTGTTGTATAGCATTATCATCATCACTTGTTCCCGATATCCGTTTTAATGTTAAATCGGTTGCTGATATAATTGGTATGGTGGCTACTTCCACTTGGATAGGGTACAAAAGTATACCATTCGACTCGGTTTTCGACACTAACTCCGAATATGATATTTTTATTAAAAGTAGAGAAGAGAACAAATAGAATTAAAAAGTGTTATTTTTAGCAAGTAAAAGCTACAATACCTCCAGAACATATACGATAACGACTACGATAAACTTCTAAAATGTCTAATGCTTCTTTAATCCGTATCTTTCCCGTCTTTTTTCGTGGTGATGAATTTAAACTGCTATTACTTGATTGTTGACGACGTATTCGCAAAGCAGTTCTTGAATTATTGCCACCACCACCATCACGATCTTTCAATTCAATTGCTTCTGTATCAAAACGAACTTTTTCAGTTGTTTTTGCCTCATAAAGAAATGACGTTTTAGATTCGCCTATGGAACAGAAAAAAAAGGATTTATTGAAAACAAAACAAAAAAACAATTTTATTTCAAACCTTATATTACAACAGCAAACATCATGGAATAAAAATGAATCGATTGTATTTCCACGAATGTTGTTGACAGGCTCACTCATGAGGTTCTTACACTCTTAGCATGCATTTTCCTTAACTATCCAACAAACCATGCATAAAGGACGGGGGACGATAAGACCGTAAATCGGCCAACTACCAAATCCATTATGCAGTAACTCATCTAATGCAGTTTTTCTTGCCCATTAAACCTATCATATTTTTAGACAATCAAAATCCTTTCCAACGCCCCTGGAAGCCTTTTCCCAACCTAAAACCTTCTTGCTTTAAACGAAATTGCCCAAAGCAATTTAATTCGCCTAAATCTTTCCCCTACAGGAAGTATCAACTAGTATAAATCACTCGATAGAGAATTTCACGGGCTACAAAATGGTATATGAAATATTGTTAAGAAGCTGTGTCTGAGTAGTCCAAGGTTGGAAATACTCGTTAGCAACTCAGCAAACGGGCGGGTCAAGGTCATTGATGTCAAAAGTTCTCCATTTTTCGGTCATTAACCAGTCCATTTTATACACCATTCGATAGAGAATTTCACGGGCTACAACACAGTCTATAAGGCCATCAGAACAAATTGAAATTCCGTCGCCTGAAATTCGAAATACCTGGCAGCACCTCAGCAAAATCGGCGGGTCAAGGTCATTCATCTCAAAAACGTTACCTTATTCGGTCCATACTCAGTCCACTTCATGTACCAATCAGTAGAGGATTTCACGGGCTACAAAATGATATATGACATAGCCTTAAGAAGTTGTGTCGGGGTAAGGCTAAGATTCGAAATACTTGGTAGCATGCGACCACGCCGGCAGCCCAAGGTCATTCATGTCCACAAAGTTGCTTTATCCGGTCGTTAACCACTCTACATATACTTGTAGTACATATACGTAGTACATATACGATTCGATAGAGAATTTCACGGGCTACAAAGTGATATATGACACAGCCTTAAGAAGTTGTGTCGGAGTAAGGCCAAGATGCGAAATACTCGGTAGCATATGAGCAAACTGGCGTGTGAAGGTCATTGATGTCAAAAAAGCTCCGCTATTCAGTCGTTAACCAGTCTACTTCATACACCATTCGATAGAGAATTTCACACGCTACAAAATGATATATGACACAGCCTTAAGAAGTTGTGTC